CTGGTTAGGTAAGACACCATTTTTAGACAAAGTCGACAGCGGAGCTTATCATATATACAGGTTTAGTCTTTATAACCACTGATTAATCATTTTCTTTGTGCACTAAATGTAATTACTGCTGCTAAGATAAATCTGTATGAGGTATATATATATATATATATATATAAAGAATACTTCATAACGGATTGATTTTTAAAATACTCTTTTTTTAGCTCCGCTGTCGACTTTGTCGAGCGGAGCTTATCATATGAGTAATTGTCCGTCGTCGTCTGGCGTCAGCCGTCGTCCGTCGTCATCCGTGTCAATGTTTTACTTTTTCGACTTCTTCTTGAAAACTACAAGCCTGAATGCTTTGATACTTAGTGTATATGTACCTTGGGTAGACCTCTCTTAGATTTGTTCATTTCATGATGATATCTTCAATTCTCTAATTTTGGTGAATATTTTTGTCATTTCTGGTAAAAAGTGATATTTTCAACTTCTTGTTAAAAACTGCAAGTCCAATTGCTTTGATATTACATATATAGGTACTACGTGTGGTTCTAACTCAGATTTGTTCATTTCATGATGATATCTTCAATTCTCTAATTTTGATGAATATTTATGTAATTTTCCACTTCTTGTTGAAAACCGCAAGTCTGATTGTTTTGATACTATACATATTGTTCATTTTCTAATCATATCTTCTGTTCTTTAATTGAAATGTTCATTGCTAACAGCGGAGCTATCTCAGCTGAGAGGCTGCTTGTTTTCACTGGTCATAGCTAGGTGGTAGTCATAAGTAATTTCATATTTTCGAGTACTATTTTATTTTATGTTTTGCTTGGAAACCCGCCACCTCTTGGCGTCTGACTCTGCCTACAGTTTGTTTGTTTGACCAGAGTCTGGTGGGTAATTGAACGTAGTGAATTTAGGCAGAGGGTTTTCAACTTGCCTATTCACCTAGTTCATGCCCACCATAGACTCCGGATCCTCCCAACCACCCAACTTTCCGTAGCAATTGGCTTTAGTCCTTGTATACGGAAAAAACGGGGGAATGGACCTAAGGCAAGATGGTCGTTGTTTGTTCTCTTGACCTTGGTCACGTGTTACGTGATGTGGAAGAAAATCTATGAGGTAATGGGGCTTCCCCTGATTTAGATTTCTCATTTCGTTATTGGCTGAATCGCATATTAATGCTTACAGTTCAAAACAGTCATTTTGACTGACTGGAGTCTATGGTGGGTATGAACTAGGTGAATAGGCGGGTTGAAAACCCTCTGCCTAAATTGCTATTATGGCAATATGATAGAAGTATGGTGATACTTCCCTGTCATGTACTTCGAAAGATGGAATATGGTTGCTCTTGCAGCTTGCACATAAAAACAATCAGGAGAGACATTGACTGTTAGTGTCAATATTGGAACTGTCTCTTGGCAGAAAAATATATGAAAAATACCCTTTATTTTGGGCTAGTTTTTTTAGACACTGCACACCCTGGTTATAGATCAAAAAATATTCATGGTATAGAAAGTTCTGGGGGGACATAATTATAAGAGTGCAGAGGCAGCAGCACAACATTTTGCATGAAGGGGCAAAATCTGCTCACCAGCCTTGCATCGAAGACAAGACCTTACTACTAGTAGAGGGTCCAGGGGCATGCTCCCTCTTAGAAATGTTGAAATATAGACCCTCTGAAACGCTATTTCCTGCATTTTGAAGGGCAAATTTTGCTGACACAAAGGGTTTTAGCTTGATTTGGGGGGCGACGCCCCCTCTCCCCAACATTTTTTTCGAGGAGTGTGTCGCTAAACATTAAAACTATCTAGTTTTATCAACTGTATTATTCTTGCAGAACAACAGGTGTACCGGTAGATTTTGAAGAAGTATGTTTATCATCTGATTTAGGCAGTGATGATATTGACTATGTTATCACAGCAGTTAAAAGAAATGGTGTTGGTCTAAAAGGGAATGTACCAACTAATCATGATGAACCTCATATTGGAAAACCCAAGAATGTTAAAATTAGGTAAAATGGGAATCATTATATTATAGACTTGCTATTTACATTATAAACTCATTTATGTTTGTTATAAAAGATTGTATAAATATTACCCAGAACATACTTTCTAATCATCTGGGTGTTCAAGTGTTATTGTCACTGAATATACTCGTATAGTAGTGTATAACGTAGACATGAATGATTTTTTACAGAACTGAACTTGATTTATTTGCAAGTGTGCTGCAATGTAAAAGTATACCAGGCGTCAAAACAAAACATCAAGATATTGACATTGTTATCATACGAGAAAACACTGAAGGAGAGTACTCCTCTCTAGAGCATGAAGTGAGTCAATCTTTAAAAAGGAAACTAATATGTAACTGTTTAGAAAAGATAACTGTATGAATACCAGTTTATCTGAGAGTTGCCAAATATTGTGGGCAACATCTTTACAAAAGTAATTTCCATTTGCCTTTTGTGTAAAAAAAAAAAATCTGCTATTTTTACTATCTAAAAATGCCCATTTTCTTCCGAGCGCCCTCTGTGGTAGAAATGAGGAAAACTTTTGTTTTTCTGTGTTATCATATTTATGAAGAAATCCGTTCACTATACAAGCCAAAAGTTCATTTTGCATAACAGTTCTGCTTTGAATTGGAGGATAGAGGATGTTTTCTTGTTTGTCTTTCAATAAATTTGAAGTAAATAATGTAGTAGATTCAATTCAAACATCAGTCCTTGGTCAGAATGCTTGCTTGCCAACTTCAATATAGGAGCTGTTTACACAGTTGATACTTACTACCATTACTACCATGATTACTAAGCAGCAAGCCTTAATATTTTTATTCAATTACTGATAATTATTTATTTTATTTATGCATGGGTGCCATTCAGTCTTACTTTGTTTTATATTGTTCAGAATGTGAAGGGTGTAGTAGAAAGTTTAAAGATCATTACAGCAAAGAAATCAAATAGAATAGCAAGATATGCCTTTGAATATGCAAGAGCACATAATAGGAAGAAAGTAACTGCTGTTCATAAAGCTAACATAATGTAAGTATTTTTCAGCTGCTGTAACTATATATCATGTAAACATTAACTCGTGATCAATTGAAATGTTTTTTGCAACATCCTTACATTAACAGACTAATTGACAGATTAATTAACACTGCCTTTCTACAGGAAACTTGGAGATGGCTTGTTTCTACGGTGCTGTCGTGAAGTTTCACAAGACTATCCAGATATTGAGTTTAGTGATATGATCATTGATAACTGCAGTATGCAAGTGAGTAAACACTAATAGCTTTCCTATAGGATAAAATTAAACTTGTCTGAGCCTGGTCATCAAATGTGAATGTAAATTGAGAAATTTCAATGTGGATTTATCAAAAAATTATTAGCACAATTTACCATCTATGACTTTCTTTCACATTTTATGAAACTTTATTCGCCCCTCTACAGAGACTGATAATTCCTTCAACTTGTTGTCAAGAATTTTGAAAATGGCGACACCTTTGTGTGCCCATGTGTTCATGCATGAATGTATGTGTTCCTGGTGTATGTAAATCTGATTCACAGTCAATTTGTTCCAATTCACATTTGTTCCACAAGTTGACTCGTCTAAATTCATGTTTGTCCCATTGCCTTTGTTCAGCCTTACGATCTTGTGCAGGGTGATGTTGAATTCTATGTTGTTGTGCAACGAGTTGTAAATTTATACGTACATATGTGTGCTAGGCCTTGTCATGCTATATTTTTTAACAAACTATAAAGAATAATGTCGTCTACACATGTGACTTATTTATGTATTGACAATCAAGACAATTCAAGCTTGATGCATATAAAATGTTCAACATGTTCTTACAACAATATTTATCATGTTCACAATTTTTTGGCACATTAATTAATTATATGCTATAATCATGAAATATGAATGACTTGATTTTTCACGATTGACGCCTAAAAGTAATGCAACATGTGATACAATAAATGACTGGTGTTCAGTCTTCGATGTGTTGTCGTATGCACAATGTGTGCGTGACCATGATTAGATACAGTTTGTTGTTTCGGATTTTGTTGCACGTATTGGATGAGTTAGTATCGAGCTAACCTAATAAATCGTACGAATAGACTTTGGGACAAATCAACCTGTGGGACAAATGTCAATTGACCATCCAACATACTTCTATACTTGTATCTCAGACATTTGTGGTCACACTTCACACACACACACATTATACATCATGTCATACATATGCAAGATGGCAGAAAGTTGTCAATTTTATTGCTATTCCGCTGGTGATACATCTGACATGCTTATACTGCTGGCATACAAACTATACACATCCTTTATACATCATGTCCCATATGTATATGAACATTCATTCATTTCTAGTTCTGATTCAAGATGACTGACTCACCATGATCAAGCATATCCACTCTTTTTGGTTAGATTTCAGACATTCATGGTTGAATTTTGTACAAACTAGAAGATTTGCCATAACTTTCAATCATCTACACATCTTGAATGCTTACAATTACTTATTAAATACTAGTATATATCATGAGAAATATGTGCACATACTTAATGAAAACTTGTGTTGTGCTATATCTCATTCACTTGTATTTTGGGGCTTTATATTTGTGTAATTAAAAGTTTATTTTTTTTATTTTTAAAGATGGTGTCAAGACCTCAACAGTTTGATGTAATGGTTATGCCAAATTTATATGGGAACATTCTTAGTAACATTGGTGCTGGTCTGGTTGGTGGTCCTGGTGTTGTGCCTGGCTGTAACATTGGCTCTGATTATGCTGTCTTTGAATCGGTGTGTACAACATAAAATATCAGTCACTTGTATGTTAGAATAGAATACTCTCATGATAAAGTCAAGTTTGTGTTAACTCGTACTAGAACTGAGAGTGTTTTGTATTTGTGTATTTACTGATTTCATTGAAACTTCTCACAAAACTCCATCACTAAAGTTCACATATGCAAATCAATGAAACTTATTTTTTGGAGTTTCTGTGCATTACATATATGATTGCTCATATTTTTATAATTGATTTTGTTGAAAACAGCATTTTGTGGAAAATTGGGCATCGATGAAGTACTTAACACTTTTCATGGTGATAACAACTCATTGTCAAAATAGAGTTTATCCATTCATGTTAATAAAACAATATATTCTTGAATAGGCGTCAGCGACTATGATAAAACTAAATTGTAGTCTAATTTAGGCATCAGGAAATGTTCTAAAAGTGATGCCTAAATTAGAATACTTATGGTACTGACTTTTTACAGAGATTATGGTGTTGATATGTTTTGTTTTATTCTTCCATACCAATTGTGTTCAATGTTGAAAAGACATAAAGCACTTTCATTTGAGCTCAAGTACATTGTGCATTTACATTTTTCATACACATTAGAATGATCTATATACAGGTTTAGTCTTTATAACCACTGATTAATCATTTTCTTTGTGCACTAAATGTAATTACTGCTGCTAAGATAAATCTGTATGAGGTATATATATATATATATATATATAAAGAATACTTCATAACGGATTGATTTTTAAAATACTCTTTTTGTAGCTT